CCCTTTTACTCTGAAAGAAGCTGGAACACAAAAGCAGCCCTGCAGCTTTGTCTCTGTGTACGTATTTCGACTTCTTTTGCATTTGCTATAAATGTAGCAGATTTAGAAGGTTAATCTCAGCCCAAAGTAAGCTTACAAAATAAAAGTCAACGTTCAGGGCTGTTTTCCTCTCTCTAAGATGACCTGATTCAGGCAGAAGTATGTATAAGTGATTATAACATAGTTGTTTTCTTACCTTATTTTCCCTTGTAGCCAAAACAAATGAAAGAAACTATTCTCAGCAAAAGCTTTTACAAAGCAGTCTCAAACTATCCGGAGTTTCCATGCACTGTCATTTGGACAGCTAAAACTGGGGCGGCTGTTAGCTACCATTTCTCTCTTTCATCTTTTCTCATTTACTTTCTATCTGTAAAAAGACAATTTTCCTTTTCAGTTCTGTACTTTCAGTGTATAGTAGCCTTTTTACTGTTTCTGAGTCAGTGAAAAAAAATCAAATTTGTTTCTGTTTTTCAGAAGGTTTGAAATGGAACAACTTTAAAGATCTGAAAAATAAATTTAAGTGTTTAAATGTTTTGATTGTCCCTCTTTCTCCTCCTTTTTCTCCCCTTGTCACTGAATGTAATTTTTGAATATAATTTTTTTCTCTGTTCTGTAGTGTTTCAAAATTTCTCCAAATCTGGAAAATTTCCACATTTGGAGTTTTTTTTTCAATCACTCTCAAATGATTCAAAAGTTGAAGAAGTACAAAAGCAAAAAAAAGCAAAGAGATAAAAAAATGAATCAGACGTCTGCGGGTGAAGAAATCAACTTAGCAATCATTCAAGGCTGAGTAGAAATAAAATTTAAAAATTTCCAATTTGACTGAAACCTAGAAAAATGTATCTTTTGCAAAAGGTTGTTTCCCAGAAAGAGAGGAGGTGAGCTTAAAAACAAAAAAACTAGGGGAAAAAAAAAAGCTGTACATGTTTTTTACTGAAATCTGTATCTTCAGCGGTAGAAAGAGCCCACAGTGTTGCTGAAAGTTTCCTGCAGAACGTATGAATATTGCAAAGTCAGCAATATAATCCACTTTCTAAAATACTCGCTTGTCTACTTTCTGTAGCTTTTGCTGGTTGAGTTTTGGACCGCGTTTTTGGCTGTCACGTTTCAGACACGACGTCAGCAGACACCGGTAGCAGTTGCCGCGCTATTCCGGCCCCGGTGGTAGCAGCGAAGTTGGAAGGTCTCCGTTCCAGGACTGGAATAAATTGCAAAGAAAAGCGAGGCGTGATTAGAAACAGTCTATGGGCAACGGTCGGTGTCAGCTCAACGACCGGGGCGGTAAAGTCAGGTTAAAATACACGAAGCTGAAGTTGGGGCGGTTGGGTGTTCCCTGAGCGCTCTTGCCGAGGCTCTCACCGAAGGAGGTGGGGGTTGGCCGGCGGGTCGCCTGGCCTGTCCCCGGTCACTGGGATGACCGCTGCTTGGGCCGTGTTGCTCTCCTGGCCGAGGCGGCGGCTTGCCGGACGTGCTCGGAGCTGTTGGCCGACAGCCGAAAGCCAGTTCCCACCTCTCGGCTGGTCGGTGCGTTGAGCCAATTTTCAGGTGTAATTCTCATCCAAGACGCAACTCCCTGGTGGGGTGAGAGTTGAATTCAGGCATACCTCTGAATTTATAGCCTGAATTTTCCACCCATCCTAAATAGTCACAGCTCTCTGGATTTCAGTCAGATGCTTGCTGGTCAGCAGCTCTGAAAATCAGGCCCTGGGTAGTTCAGAAATGTTATCCTGCTTCTGTTTAAGTCTTCTGATGCTTTGGGAGAACGGGGCTGTGGTAGCTGCTGGAGCAGAGCTACCACTACGAGCCTGGAGCGGGGAGTGCTGCATCTTGCTCCCGAGGCTGCTCGCTGGAGGCCAGAGGGGGGTTTTCCGTCCTGTCGTCACGGCTGCAGCGGGTTTGGGGATGAGAAGGCGGATGCGTCGCTAAGCAAGGAGGCACCGGGACCTGAGCACCAGGGGATTTTGTTTCCCTGAGCAGGGACTTTAATTTGATTGTTTTGTGCCTGTTTCATAAATGGGCCTGTTGCTGCGTTTATTTAACGGGGTTATACGGCCAGAATTTTGAAGTCACGTTACAACTGGCAAGATCAGCATCTATTGACGTATGCAAAATCCTGAGCCTTGAGCACATGGCCGTCTCCTGACACCAGCGGTGCAGGGGCGCAGTTGCACCTGCGTTTTTAGTGGGACCAGTGAATCAGGCTCCTTTCTCTTCGCTATTAATGTTGTCGAACAATATACATTTGTGCAGTGCCTGAACTTGTAGCATACTGTATAAGTAATTAGTTTTGGTGTTTCATAACTACATAAGTACTGAGTGTTGCTGGCATTTGGCTCTCTAGCCCTCCAGAGCTCTATAATTTGTTATATCATCCGGTAAAATGCTAAACTTTGGTGTTGAGCCACTCAAATTAGGATGAGAAAAAATTAGTCTCTTCATAACACAGTAACATAGGAGCTCCTGAACTCTGCGGCCAGGTAAGAGTTAAGGGGTGTCCAGTCCAGCGTCGTCCCTCTTACAGCAGCCAGAGTTGGCTGCTGATCATCAAATCTTTTGGGGGAAAAACACCAGGGACTTGGGAGCATTACCACTACTATGAGTTTCCATTTAAAATCAAATAAAACCTAGGTAAACCTTTGAAAGGCTGTTTATTACTTCTGTAGCCCCCTGCAATTGCCTGCATTCATGGGAATGTGTGTATGTGTCTTTGCTTGCAGGTTTTTTTTCCCCCTTTCTTCTTTTAATCATTTCACAAACCACATGGTGAGGGCGATGGACAACTGGTGGTCTGCAGACCCCAGGGGAAGAGCGCTGCACCGGAGAAGGTCTCCCCAGTTACAGAAGAGGCACCGGCTGCCATTCCGATTTCTGAGAGTGAGAGACTAACTTGGGCCATAAACAGAAATACTGGTATTAATCACTCCATTGATCTTCTTGTAAGACAGATCTGAACAAGGCAGCTGAGCAGGGGACTACGCGGTGGAAAAGTCACGGTGGATGCCACGGCAGATCTTGTGTCGGTGACACTTGTTAAATTAGAAGATAGGCTTGCCTAGGGAAGAATTTGTATGTTGAGACCTTTACCGTGCTAATGAACTTTTTACCTTGTAAAAGGAACGCTGCAGGCTCGTATATTTTAACGAGCATTGCTCGGACCCCTCCCCGTGGCAGGCCCAGCACAGGCCGAGCCTTGCTGCGCTCCTGCTCCCTTGTCCTCGGGCACGGCCACAAGCCCGAGACCGCGGGGCGGCAGCGGTGTGGCAGGGGGAGGTGAGAGGGGAGCAGGGAGGTGCCAAGAGGAAAGGGATTCCCCATGAGGTGACCGGCAGGGAAGGGCTGTGCCTTTTTTTTATTTTGAATTGAGAAAGATAACGTTGAATATTGAGGCATTCGCCCCTGTGCATTACAGCTCTGCTGTAGTCACACAGACCCCGTGGTCACAGCGCAGGGATCATAGGGTGGGAAACATGCAAACCAGCTTGAAATTGGTTGGCGCCAGTATTAGTACCAGGCTTAATGCAGGCCTCAAGACCCGTGGAAGGAGCCACCTAAGCAGTCCACAGCGAGCTGGAGGTGTCGGAGGCTGCTGGCAGTGCCACCGGGGCGTAGATGGTGCTGCAGGTCTCTGCGTAGACACACCGTGTCTCAGAATCGCCCGCGCTCCCCGTTTGTCGCATTCCCATCCCTTCGTTTTCTGTACCCTTCATGGATGATTCTGCACCAGAATTTCAGTTGTGAAACTTGGCCTAGAGAAAGGGATCCTGGAGACTCCACTCTCACCGTGACTTGCTGATGGCAGGACATTGCACTTGCATGCAATGAGGCTGCCTTTCGAAGCCACGCGTCTGCTCTGGAGGGATTTCCGTGTGTCCAAGACTTAGCACGCCCTGCCATCCTACTTCCTTGTCCATGGAGAACCAGCCGCACCAATCCCAAAGCATTTATTTTTCCAACTCTCCGTGTTCTCCCCAAGTCCTCTTTGAGCCAGTGAAACAAAACTAGTAATTCCTTCCTTATGCTCCATCGCTCCTTTATGGACTCTTATGAATGAGTTCATATAAGTTTGTTTTGTTTTGCCAAAGGATTTCCAGTATTTCCTTTGACCTGGTTCCTCTCAAAACTTACAGGCCAGCGCCTTTTTACAGCATACACATGACCTCCTTCCCGCCTTGTTAGCCACAGTGCATCGCAGCCAGCGCTCAAGTCAAAGCGTTTTAAACAATTGACTTGGCATCCATGTCCTGAAAGGTCAGCAAGCCCTAATTTTAAAAGACAATATTTTATTTCTAACATTCCCATTGTAATTGGAAAAGGAAGGCCTGATAAATCACATCATACTGTGTGTGACTGAGAACAAAGTGGTTTGTGAAGCATTCCTATATCAGGGAAAATCTGGGAGGATTTTTTGCTTTAAAGCCGGCAATATTTTTGTAGATCTACAAGATAAATCCATATGGATGCTAACAATGTTGGGGGGAAAGAGAAGAACACTATCAGTGGCCCATACAATGCTTTAACCAGCTCCAGACTTCCATGATGTTCTCAGCTTTCTGGAGAAAAAATTCTAAAAAGCCTTATAGTAACTTGAATGCGGAGATGAACATTAAATCATACAACGTAACAAAGTGAACAGAACAACTTTGTAAAAGCTAAATTTACTCACGGAAAATATTGAAAGCCAATCTGGGACCAATTTATCCAAGCAAGTCTGTTGACATCTGCATAGGTCACAAGTCCGTGCAGAATATGGCTCTCCAGTGATAACGAACTCCTTCTCTGTCCCTGCTGCTTAAACGAGCCAGGCAACTTGTGCTTTGTGCCAGCAATATGATATTATAATACTTACAACTTCTATTACAATTCATGTCTCTAAAAAACAGGAAGTCAAATTCAAGCCTGATGTTAAAGAATCAAACTTTATTTGTTTTCAGGAAGATGCACCCATTTAGTCTGTGATTCTTTATTTTTTTTATTGTTATTTCAGTGATAAGGGATGGCTTGGTAAGGGTTGCTCAAGCCCAGAATATGAAACACATTCGATCCAAATAACTTGCACTCCAGTAAGTCATACAACATGTAAAGAGCAGGGAAGGAGTCTACTGTAACTTATGTGTTATGTTCATATAAATAACACACATCTATATATTGCACCAGCTCATCAGGTGGTCCAGACGTGTAGCAATAAAGATTGGATCATCTGCCACCTTGTCAGCACATTTTTAATACAGACGGAGCTGTGACTATTTTCACGTGCATCTCTCCCGTCTTCGCCATCCTGCCTGTATGTGATATTGGGCAATATGCTCTAGGTGACCCTGCTTGAGCAGGGAGGTTGGACTAGATGATCTCCAGAGGTCCCTTCCAACCTCAACCACTCTGTGATTCTGTGATTCTGTGACTGACGATATCACTTCTGCTACCTGTGAATGTAAATGAACCCATGGAGCTGAACCTGGTTTTAACGGGAACAGTGCAACCGTAAGAACAGACATATAAAGGGAAATGTCCATGGCTTCAGTGACAGAAAGGGACAGGAGGCTTTAGTCATTTAATTTTAAATACCTGGATCATTCAGTCCTAGCTTCACCCACATAAGATGCACCATTGAGTCTAATGGAGCTCCTAGTGGAAATGAGGTTAAACGCATGTGTATGAATTTGCAGATTTATGGCCTTCAGTTCCAGTTATAACCTATACTAAATCCTGCATTTACTCATCGGGGAATGTAACTGGAGTCTGATGATATACTGAGATGGCCAGTTTAAAAATTTTTTCAGAAAAACAATTTGTATCTGTTAATCTTCATGCCAAATTTCAGTCTCCCACCTATGCATTACATCATCACTTTAATCACCTGTGTCTGTGTGTTTGTACAAAACACACATCGTCATCTAGCGAACAAACTATGGGGATGTGCAAATCAGGACAGAAAACCCACTCTAGTGTCAAGTGATTTCCATATATGAGTGTGGGCAATCACAGTGCTGCTTCACCTGCTGTCTTAAAGTTTTGTCATCAGCATTTAGCTGTCATCAGTCACTTGTATCCTTCCTTTCAATCCCAATGTGATTGAAACAATATGGAGTGCAGAGCTATGTAGTTAAAGAGAACCTGACTTTGGGGCCAAAAAATAAATACATAAAATAAGAAGCTTAGCCACACTTCTTCTGTCTTAAATTAAAACTTGGAATAAAATAAAAGAGAAATTCAGCTGGCAACTTATTCTAGATATCCTCCTAAAAGGAGAAACACAGAAATCACGAATCTAGTTATGATGAGGGCAGGGAGATTTAAAAAAAAAAAAAAAAAAACTCGCTGTTGCAAATTTTCTTCTTGAGCAAATATATAAATAGTTTTTATTGGTTCCTTTTAAAACAACATGTATTGAAACATTCTAAATTTAAATAGCGCTGCCCTCTGAACAGGGAATATTTTGGTAGTTCCTGCTGCAATGCATTTTCTTGCTTTGTTTGCTTTTCCCTTGCAGGAATCATCCCTGCCCTCGTCGAAGACAATGCTAAACCTCCCAGTGGCTTCAGTGGGAGGATCCCTGGGCATGTAAGTGTGTGTGGCAGCAATCTCGGAAAAAGAGATGCAAAATCCCTCTTTGGCTACAGCGCTTGTACTCTGCAGAACTTGTGTTCCTCTCTTCCAGGAAACAATTTGCCTTCTGTCTTGCACAACTTCCAGTACAAAAGATGTCATTCTCGCTATTGTAGTGTGATTTAACCTTTGTTAAAGAATCCCATAATTCAGCCAACCAACCTTTGGGTGAGGAAATAAGCCTTACTCCTATGGAAAGATATGCGAGAACTGTTTTCCAAGTCGTGGCCCTGGCCACACGGGACACTAAAACTACGTGCCATCCCAAGTGCTGCACTTGCCCCTGCTGCCCGTGGGCGGCAGTGGGGCAGTTCCCCTGGGGGCCGTGGAAAGGGGTGGTGAGCTCTGGGGCTGTCCCGGCTGCGATCCTGGCTCCGCCAGA